CGGGTTACCCGAGACTCTTCTCCCGTGATCCCTGGATCCCATGTATGGCCACGTGGATTATGGTTTCTGACATTTTTCATGGCAGCTTGTACAAAACTATAAAGCATCCACTTCTAAAACATATATCAGGGCCAAACGATAATGACAATATAATTCGCCACATCTTCTCGAACCACGAGATTCGATCCGAATCAACAGCCAAAAAAATTGCCGCGAATATTCAGAATCTGTTTACGCCAAAAGTCGCTGCTGATATTGATGCAACTCAGTTTGAAGCGTTGAATGCATCAACATTACATTGGTTTGATTTAAAAAAGTTGGCGTGGCAATTGTTAAAGTCGGCTTTATAATATGCAAAATATATGTTTAAGAAATATCTTTTTATATATTTATTATATTATTTTTTATTATTTTTTCAATATTTTTTGATATAATTTAAACTTACTAATAGTTTACTTAGTAATATTATCCTTTAATTCTTTATTATATATATTTATATATTATTATAACTTATATATAAATTTACAAATCATAATTATAAATATATTTTTAAGAATATTAAAAATTTAAATCAATAAATTAGTATAACTATAATTATATATATTTCTTATTTTCTATTTGATAAATCTCTAATATTATTTTATAAAGTTATATTCATAATAAAACTTAAAGTAATATTCAAAAATATATCTTATATTTATAACTATTTTTTCTAGTATTAATTATTATTATATAATTCAAATTATAAAAATATAATTTTTTGCATATAATAATTTAATTTTATTAGATTATTAATTTTTTAGAATATTTCTTAAATAATAAATAAAATTTTTTTATTATTTAGAAATTCTGCTTTATTAATACTTGCTTAATATTTTTTAGTTATACTTTCAGTTTCTTTATTAGATAATTATTAGAAAATAATATTAATTATATATCTCTTATTATATTTATTATTAAGATATTAATTATTATATATTTTAAGTTATTTATTTCTAAAACTTAAATTTATTTTTAAAATAACTAATATATTTTTTATTATAATATTATAATTTATGAATTAATTAAAATAAAAAATATTAATATATTCAGGATATAATATCTCAAATCTCAAATATTAATATTACTTTATAAATTAATATTTATAAAAAAAATAAAATTTAATTCAAAAACTTAGTATATATTAGAATCTGCTCTAATATATATTTTAATTATTATATATATTTTCTTAAATAGAATGAAAAATAAAGATTTTTTTATATTTAATATATAAATTTTCTTATAATTTTTATTTAAATAGCTAATAATTTATAATAAAAATATAAAAAAGCCAAAACTATAATAAAATATCTTATATATTTCAAATATAAAATATTTTTATTATTCAAAATTCAGATTTTTTACTAATTATTATTTATATAAAAATAGTATTTATTATATATTATTTGAGATTATTATAATAGAATCTCAGATCAAATAAAAAAATTATTTAAATAATATATAATAAATATTATTTCTATATAAATAATAATTAATAAAAGATTTGAAATAATAAAAATATTTTATATTTAAAAAATATAAAATATTTATTATAATTTTAATTTTTTTTATTCTTATTATGAACTATTATAATTATCTGAATAATAATTATAAGAAAATTTATATATTAAATATAAAAAAAACTTTGTTTTTATTTTATTTAAAAAGATAAATACTAATAATTAAGGCATATTTTAAAGCAAACTTATTATTCTTTTCTGATATATTAAGTTTTTGAATTAAATTTTATTCTTTTTTTATAAATACAACTAATTTATAAAATAATATTAATATTTAAATATTATATTTAAAAATATTAGTATTTTTTATTTTAATCAATTTATAAATTATAATATTATAATAGAAAATATATTAGTTATATTAAAAATAAATTTAAGTTTTAAAATAGATAATTTAAAATATATAATAATTAGTATTTTGATAATTATAATAAAAATATTTAGATATAACTTTATAATAATATTATTACAGCGAATTGATAAGTGAGGTTTCACTTTAATTCACCTTAACAATATAGGGTTGGGAGAGACTGAAATAATTAAAGGTAACAAGAGGGGAATTAGACTATAGCTTTCAATAATGACAAAGATTTCTAAAGCCTGTGCCAATATCTACAGATATTGTCTTTCAAAGAGGAAATAATAAAAGAAAAGAATAAT